TTTACCAGTATAATTAGGAATATAAAAAACATTATTAAACTAATATACATATTTCAAGAAAACATACATATTGGAAAATTAGTAAAAGCTTGACCAACTTTTTGTAAAATATGTATACTAGATCTAGTATGAATAGAAAAAGCTAAATAAAAAATACTTACTCTAAAGCTTAAACTTAAGACTACAAATTTAGAAACTAGAAGCAAATTGTTAACTTCACGACTATTAAAGAGCTATTAAACACTTGATTCATACCGTTGTTTCAAATTTGCCTTTGTCGCAAAATGCAATGTTAGTATGTATATACACTCAATATTTAGCTTTCAAGGAAGTCACATCTGATAGTATTGTAAATTCGGATCCTAGTTATAAGATCCAGATCTTATATTAAGATCCGGATCTGATTATTAAGATCCGGATCTGATTATTAAGATTCAGATCTTATGATTAGGATCTGGATCTTAATAATAAGATCTGGATCTTATAATTAGGATCCAGATCGAGGTATTAACTCTATTTGGGAAGTCCCGAGTTAGGAGTAACAACGATCTTCAATAGTATCACAAGAGGGCTGAATTTGAACTAGAGCTTGAGATCAGAGAACTGAATGACTAGGTCCTAATGGCAGAGAATACACTAGCCGAACCACCGGGTTCTGTCGCACTAGAGAAAAAGAATATATGTTCCAAAAGTATGTACCAAGGGGAGGGCGTCCTTCAGGTACCTAAAGCCTGGGCAAACCCGACCTTCCAAGTTGCTAGCTGGAAGTAAGGGAGAGACCGATAAAGAATTCAGGTAAGAAGATAGTCCAAATGCGAGTACCAGAGTTGTTGGGAACCTAATAAGGGCAAAAGTAGGTAATTACAAGGGTTCAATAGTTAGCCCTAACCCCAAGTATATGAGTAGAGCCATGGCATAGATTACTAAAGTCTAGATAAATATATGTGTAGGACATGTGATATCTAGCAAAATGGAAATATCCCACTATCTAATAATCCAGAGGCACCTGGAGCCAGGATAAGCAAACTACAGATGCTATGCAGACCAATAGTGAGGTAAATAGAAGTTAACTACGACTATATTGGGCTAAAATATTTGGTATGTCTTGTTCAAAGAGGTTTACGGAGATTTGGAAACTGTAACACTGCAGGGAGAGAGATCTGAAACATCTGTGGCTATTGATAACTGATTAGGAAGGTTATGGCTTGAGATACAGACTGGGTTGTAGCAGCATCCCAAAAGGTAGCTTGAGATACGAACTCGGTGATAATAGCATAACAAGTACTAATAGATTAGAGATTATCAATGATATACTGAATTCTCTGTTGTAAAAGTAATGTGTTGTATAACGCATCCACAATAATGAGTAATAAAGAGGCAGTATCGTTAAAAAAAAAAAAAAAAAAAATCTAAAACTAAAGTATAACACAGCAAGGAGCAGAAATAAATGTTCTTCTAGAAAATGATGAAAATTTAATCATTGATACCGTCTTTCATTATATAGGGCACCCAGGCCAGAATTTTTCCAATAGCGATCAAAGTCGCATCCCTGTTGCAAATCCATCCGCATACAATATTAATAACAAAGGTTGAAATGCCCAACTAGCCCGGAACCATTACACACAATATTGCGGGAAATCACAAATATATTTAGGGAAGCTATTGCTAATGTCATTAATGCTGCCTGTCCCCATTGTGAGAAACTAATCTAGTAAGGGTCGAAATCTTTCATGGAGAAGAAGACAAGGACCCTAGACATCTAGGATATAAGTTATATAGAAACTTTTCAGCAAAACCTTCATAAATTTAGAAAGCAAAAAATCACGTTTTTGTAAATATTTCAGCAACTAGTGGCCCAATTTGAATAAACGTTTTTTAAAATAAAAGCACTCAGTGAGGCGCTTCTTTTAAAAAAAAGTTCATTCAATTCTAATTACTGAATACAGAGATATTTAAGAAAAAATAAAATTTTAGTTTTGAGCAAATTAGGCCAAATCGGCTAAAATCCAAATATGATCTATATTAGAGATGTCTGGGGCCTCCCTCTCAAATGGTGGAGGCATTTGAACGAGCTGAAGATGCTAACAATTGGTCCCTTCAACATAAGGTAAAAATAGTCTTGGAATATTTTCATGGTGTTGCCGCCAACTAGTATAATGAAATAAAAAGAAACCTTTAGTATTGGGATAAACCCAATAATAGGGATGGAAGTTTCATTCTACACTTTCTGTACTACTTTGCAACTCTGAAAAGGCATTATCAATGGCAGGTTGATTTGAATTTCTTAACCCAATGTGATACTGAAAGAGTGGATGCATACGTCTACAATTTTAAAAGATTGTTGTACTAGGTGGACCCAGAAAATCACCTTTCTCAACCATACATAGTACATATGTTCTTGGGAGGTTTGAAGCCAAAAATAGCTTCATGGCTAAGTGTGGCTGCCTCTTGCAACCTTGAAAAATCAAAGCTGGTAGGTACTATAGTGAACGAAATGGAGCAAGAAATCAAAATATCTGCTATGAAGATGACTTGAATCACCTGATTCAACAAATGCAGGTAATGTCGATAAATTATAAGAAGCTTGTCTTTTTGTTGGTGGCTAGAATTGAAGCAAATGAAGCCAAACCCTAAAATAACAATAATCGAGGTGGCCAAAATAATAATAATGTGGCCCGAATAATTTGTTATAATTGTAGAGAACCCGGACATATTTCCTGTGATTGTATGTCAGAAAGAGCCTCGGAAAAAATAATGCCCCAAGGAACTTGCCTCAAAATCCTCCACCAGTCCCAGTCCAAACTGTTAGAATCGACTCAAATAATTTGCCAGTGCAGATATTGCACCAAACCTGAAATGCGAATTTATGTAACCTTGATAATATGGGTTATCAACCAGAAGAGAAAGAAGCATTTGTAATCCCTGTTTCTCGCCACTAGCCATATACAATGCAATGACCTTGCTGAAATGTGAAAAAATCAAAAAGTCAAGCGGAGGAATGGTTAAGAACCAACCTACCCATGACTGTCACTCTGGTAGTGCCACTAGTAAATGGAATGCCCCAATCAGTGCCTCTATAAGCTCAACTAGCCCCTGAAACTCTTCCAGCAAGACCTCAATGACGAAGAGGACCGTCAGTTATTAACTAATTGGAGCTGAATAATGTTGCTTAAGACATTTTAGAAATGCAAGCCAATGCTACTATCGGACAACTCCTGTGATATCTGAATCAGCATCATTTTCTAGCTCAGGCTTTAAAAAGACCACTCATAGTTGAACCAGTTCAATCATTAAAAATAGAAACGAATGTGGTTCAACCACCAAACTATAAACGAACTACTGCAACCTACTGCTATATTTGAGTAAAGAACAACCCAATTGTCACAGTATTGGACTCAGGTGCCACTGTAAGCCTGATGTCGAAAAAAATGATAGAGAAATTAAAGTTGAAGATTAATGAACTATCTCCAATGATTGTGGAATAGTAAATGGCACTCGGGAGCGAGCTTTAGGGAAAATTAACGGGCTTAAAGTTGCTATAAGAGATATGCTAATCTCTACAACATTCCAAATCATTAAATCCACCAGTGACTTGTTGTTGTTAGATATGGATTGGTTTGTGAAGGCTCAGGCCCAGCTGTATTTTGCAGAAAAAAGATTGTATTTGATATACAACAAAAAAACTAGTGAAATACCAATCTTTACGGATAGAGAACCCCCAAATGAACTTGCTGTCGAACCACCCGAAGTGAGAATATGTTTAATGAGTTCAAATACGATGACGAGGCTTTAGACAAAGCTAAAAAATATTTTACAGAAGGAACTTTCAATAAAGACCTCTTCAAGAACCCATAGAGCAATTATTGCAGCTCTGCGGTATGTCTAGCAAATGTAGAGGAATTATCGACCCAAGACTCTGATCCTCAGAAAGAACTACCCATCAAAGAAAAATTGGAGAAAAGTATGTCAAACGCTCCTTTAAGCCCAAAGGAAAAAGATAAAGCCCTTGAGTTGTTGTTGGTGAAAAAGAAAATTTTCACAACCAGAACAAATAACTTAGAACAAACAGAGGTCATAACACATAAAATAAATACTAGCACCACTGCTCTAGTAAAACAGACCCCATACCATGCCGCTCTCAGCATACATGCCTTCATTAAGAAGGAAGTGGCACAATTAAAGACCAAAGCATTGGTGTGAGAATTAAAAAGCCCATGGGCTTCCCCAGTCATAGTTGTTTCAAAAAAGGGTAGAAAACTACAAATGTGCGTCAACTATAGGAAGTTAAACACGATAACTACTAAGGACATGTACTCTCTTCTGCGGATAGACAATCTACTAGAAGTCTTTGGCTATGCTGCTTGGTTCACCTCCCTAGACCTATTGTCAAGGTACTAGCAGGTGAAGATTAATAAGAAAGACAGGAAAAAATAGTATTTGCAGTCCTTTTCAGCACATATGAGTTCATAGTCATGCCTTTTGGCCTTTGCAATACTCCCGCCACCTTCTAGCATATGATGAACTACATGCTGGCCGATTTTATTGAACAATTTATCATAGTATATCTCAACGATATTGTAATTTATTCTACCTCTTTTGACAAATACTTGTGCCACATTGCCGCTGTTTTTGAAAAATTAAAGGCTGTGGGTTTGAAATTAAATTTTGACAAGTGTGTCTTCTTTAAACTCTACCTCCACTTTTTGGATCATATTATCAGATGAGAGGGAGTTCGTCCTGATAATAATAAAGTAGAAAAGGTCCAGAACTTCCCTGCCCCTGTGAATTTAAAGCAACTCCATGAGTTTATTGGGTTGGCTTCGTACTATAGGAAATTTATTCCTAACTTTGTCTTGATTGCACGGCCCTTGCACTATTTGCTGAGAAAAAATGTTGAATATGAATAGACCCATGAACAGAAAGGTGTGTTTAAACAGCTAAAGCAACATCTAACAGATACTTCTATACTTCATTACCCCAATTTCAACAAAATATTTATCATGCATATTGATGCCTCTGGAACTAAATTGGGTACTGTGTTGGCCCAAAAGGATGATATAGGAAAAGAGTATATCATAGCATATGCAAGTCGAGTACAACAACACCCGAAATGAATTATAGCATCACCGAACCTGAATGTTTGGCAGTTTTGTGGGTGGTAGAATATTTTTGCCATTATTTTGGCCTGGATCTGTTTGTAGTTGTTACTGACCATGCAGCGCTAAAGTGTTTGCAAACTGTGGCATTGATTGGTCATAGGGCCCTTTGGGTACTTTAGTTACAGCCCTATAACTTTCAGATTGTGCATTAATGTAGAAAAAAGCACAGCAATATGAATATATTATTGAGACTTCTGAAACTACTTATGTCATTGTTAGTTCCTAAAAAGAGTTTGGGACCCCAATCGATGATAGTCGATTATAAAAAAAAGAAAGAAAAATAAGAAAAATAATAATAATAAAATAATAATACTGTATAAAAATCTGGGTTTTAAATTCAGACTAGGTTACCAGTATCCTGGCCTTATTAAAATTTCTTTAAATTGATACCTCTTGTTTTTTTTCTCTTTTGTAGAATTCCTGTAGATAGCATCTTTTATAACTAAGTAGCATATTAGTTTTTATATTTTTCTCCTAACAAATAAAATAAAATAAAAAAAAGAACTATAAGATATATTTTTTTTTATAGAGTCTAACCACTATCGACATTTGGCTCAATATTTAGATATAAAATATTTGCCACCAACCTTAGATAAGAAGCAGAAGTTGATAAAAAAATCTAAATTTTTTGAGGTAAAAGAAGGTCTACTATACAAAAAAGACTGCCGCATGAAAGAGAACTTATTACGAGTACTATGAAAGCACAAAGTGAATCCAATATTGTTTTCAGTGCATACCTATTCACTTAAAGGGCATTTTAGCCATAATATTATGTTTGAAAAAGTGCACAACCTACTTTGTAACAGTATAACAAAGTGAAAGAAATAGCTAAATCTATTAAATAAATAGAAAATAAATTAATTAAAAATAACTATTTATTTAAAAATAACAATAATGAGACAGAAATTCAACATCAATATCCTATCTCTTTCTACTATAGATTGTGCTACAAAACTTGCAAGCTAGCACATTATCCAAAACTAAATCATATTTCGGATCCAAGTCTTGAAAACCATATATAATATGTCAACTTAAACCTGAAAAAAAAATATTTTAAATCAGCTTAAGAGATATAAAAATTCTACTATATTCCTATTACCAATACAAGAGAACAAAAAAATACCTTATTATTTTAAATTATATTTTAAAAAAATTCAATAAAATAATTACCCGAAACATTTTTTATCCATTATAAACTTACAAGATCATTTGCTAAAAGAAAAAAGAAGCTCTAATTAGCAAAAATCGCGATCTACATAGTATAAAATAGGTTTTCTTGATTTTTTTTCATATTTTTATAAGATACTCTCCTTTAAGGGATGCATTTTACAGAAAGTTCTCACTTGTACGTATCTAACAAGCTATTTTTTAGGTCAAGATCTTGGAAACTCCAAAAGAATCTTACAGAAGAAGGTGAAAGAGTTGCCTATTTTCAAAGGGGTCACACATTACTGAGAGATATTATTTTTTCATATTCTTTATACAGTTCGATTTACTGAAGCCCTGGCAACTTATTTGTTTTAAAAAACATTATGTATATAACTAAGACTTTAGGAGAAAATTCTAAAAAAGTGATTTCGTCGATTTGT